GACTCGAGTTCAATCAAGAATCTTAAATATCATTCAATTTAATTTTAAATTATAGTATTGTTGAAAAAACTATTAATAAAAAAAATTACAAAAGAAAGGGAACAACAAAAAAAAAGAATAGAGCTAAAATCTAACAAGAAAAAACCCGATGAGGATGAAACCTAAAAATAATTATCCCAAACAAAAAAAAATCACAATTAAAAGAAATAGGACCAAACTTCAAAGATTAAAAAATCATAAGGGGGTTAAATTAAAAATTATTTATAATATGATGAATTATTTATATATTAAAAAATAATAAGGGTTAAATAAAAAATCATTGAGGACTAACCCAATAGAATCAAACAGAAAAATATGACAAACTAAAGCTTTTAAAAAAAAATAAAAAATAAGAAAATATCAATTTAAAAAAAATAAAAAAGTGAAAAAACAAACCAAATATCAATAAAATGACGCGACAAAATTACAATTACAACCACTCAAGTCAGCAATGAAAGTAAAAAAACAAATCAAATATCAATAAAATGACGCGACGGAATTACAATTACAACCACTCAAGTCAGCAGCTCACATCACTAGAAGGCAACAAAATGTTTAATGAATGTGAGGTACATGTTAACAACTTATTTATTTTTTATTAAAATTATTTTTATAAAACCAAACATGCTCTTAAAACTAAATAATAACAATAAATAAACCAATGCTATAATTATAATCAAGCCCCTAAAAATTTTGCATAGTAAAAGTGATGTAGTAATTGTATTATTTTATCAATATAAACCGATATCATTCTATAATTTAGTCAAAATTACACTTACTTTTCGAATTTTATAAAATTACTTTTTGCATCTTAGATCAATATTAATATAAAAACATCATTGTGCAGAGGAAATTAAATTGTTTTATTCAATTTTTTTATTATTAATTTTATTATACAGTAAAAAATATAATTACCAAAATAACCTTATACAATTCTCAAAAAATATTTACCCCAAAACAAAAACAAAAGATAAAATGATTAAGAGGTAATATAGTAATTATACTAATGTGATGAATATTAATATGTCTTGAGACTCAATAATATAGTTAGAGTATCAGTGTTTTAGATGATAAAATTTGAAAATTGATTAAAGAACAAAACTACCTCATATATATATTAATTGTAGCAAGATTCCCATCCTTTATCTTTCACATCCCCCTCTTTCTCACCAAACCCTAGCCACCAGCTGCTGTAAACTTGGTTTATGATGATATCCTGCACCTTGAATCGAAGAGCATTGAGAGACAATAATGAGATTAAAGAATATATAATTGACAATATTCAAAGACTAAATTTTAATCTTTATGAGTTCATCGCATCATTAATTCAAACTCATTAAAATCAATATTTCCGTCCAAATTCAAATATGCAGCGTTCAAAATCTCCTGAATCTTCGTATCCCATCCTTTATCCGGTTCCAAGCATTGCAGAATTTTTTTAGATTCTGTTTATTTTTATATTTTAAAAATATTTTTTAAAATTGAATTTTTTATTTTTTTGCTTTATTTTTTTAATATTGTTTTGATTTTTTAATATCAGAAATTATTTTTAAAAAATAAAAAAATATTTCTAAATAAAAAACAATTTTAAAAACAATCTCTACCAAACTCTTAAAATATCTCTTTCGTTCACTATAAATTTCATGCTGCCTTTTTGTTTAAAATCTCGAGTTATTCTCCGGTAAAACGACACTTGCTCAATCAGTCTACGACGATGAAGAATAGAAGGGCATTTTGATTTGCGGATTTGAGTGTGCGTGTGTGTGTGTTGATTTCAACATAAAAGGATTGACAATAGTCACCATTGAGTCCATTCTAGGAACTTCTTCAAACGTTCAACAATTTCATAATCAACACACACACAGAAAATAGAGAAGTTAGGTGGTGAGAAGTTTTTGCTCATGTTGGATGATGTGTGGGACGATGACACGTTACCAGCCGCGATTTGAAAGATGCATTGCGCTGTGGAGCTAAAGGCTGTACAGTTCTTGTGATATTTTATAAAATGTTTATTTGATAATATTTTATTTAGTTTATTTGATGAGTTGCTGTTCCGATAGCACGATGAAGCACGAGGAAGAAATAGTGAATCCTTAATGAGTTTTTCTTTACTCTCTTCTCGTGGTATTGACATTTTATTTTTTATAAGTGAATATTGCTATTTTTTGTTTTTTTCAATATTTTTTTAATTATATCATTAGATTAAATGAGTTTATTAAACTTATCAAATCAATTATGAACATATTAATTTCTTTTTACTTCTTTAAAACACCAGCATTGCTTATGTTAGAGAGAGGGCAAAAATAAAAAAGAAGAAGATCTGCTATATCTTTCCAGAATGCAGGTATAGAATGGGAATGCCTGATTTTAACGTTCAGATTGGGATGGTTTAGTGTTCTAAATTCCAAGAGGCAATAGCTGCATCTTGACCCTTCATTCATTTTATTTATCCCTTGATGGTTATAAACAATACTATTATAAAATGTTGTTTTCATTTGATTTTATCATTCTCTCACGTTAAAAGCCTCAATGACTATGCCTACAAATTATTACATTTTTAAGATTTCATGTCTATACTTCTTCTAGTGATTTGGAAATGTATTTCCTTTATAATACCGTCATGGTTTTTTTAAGCTTAAAAAAGGGGGTCTATCCTACTCAACACTGAGAACATACATACCTTCTCCTGTAAGTTTAATATTGTTAACATGTTAATCATCTAGGTGGTGTACAAGTGGTAAAGACTTGAGACTAAGGAGTTTGCTCCCTCTGTGGTCTCAAATTCGAGTTCTTGATTGCTTATATGATGGCAACTGGAGACTTATATAGTCGTTAACTTCAGGGCCCGTGGAATTAGTCGTGATGTGCGCAAGCTAGCCCGGACACCCATATTAATCTAAAAAAAAAAAAATATCGTTAACATGTTGTTCAGTGAATCACATAAGTTGACTCAATATGCATGTTTAATGCAAATATTGTTAACATGTTGTTTAGTGAATCAAGTTGACTCAATATGCATGTTTAATGCAAGATTCTTTTTAGAAAATAAATATTTGTTTAGTTAATTTTATGGTTTTTAAATTTTTAATTTAATATTATTATGAATATTTTATTTAAATATTTAAAGAAAATATTTTTTTTAGTTTATTTTTTCTATTTAGTATAAATGATTGTAACTCTCTTTTAGCAAATAAAGATACGGAGGGAATAAAATTAAATATTTTAAGATTCTCCTTTGTAATTACAGTGTTTAAAGGTGTTGACATGTAACAAACTTTATTTTCTCTCACTTTTGGCTACATCAATTAGTATTAAGGTCTATTTTTAATTGTGGTTATAATTACTTTTTAAAGTATATTTCATATTAAAATATATTAAAATGGAATTTTTTTTTTTGTTAAAATATATTAAAATGGAATTTTTTTTATATTTAAAAAAATTATTTTTGAGATTAACAAATTAAAACAATCTAAAATACATAAAAAAAATTGAATTTTTTAGAAAAATAGTGCAAATGTTCTCCAAAGTCCAAAAATTCATGATGGTTTTGGTTGGAAAGTGTGTATCAGAGCACATTGATTCTCGGTGATAGTTAATGTGTGATGTTGAATAATTATAGCTAAAAAAAACACTTAATAGGACGTGTTTGGATAAAAAAAATGATGAGGTTCCTTCTTAAATAAAAAAATCAAAGAATTAATGTATTATTTTTGTTTGTGGTTATTGAACATTTTAATAATAAGATTATGTTGTGTTAAGAAATTCATGATTTGATAGGCCATATAAATATATTATATTAGGGACCTATAATAAAGTAATTTATATAAAAACATTAAACATGCTCGATAAAATAAATTATATATAACAAAATATTTGTAGTAGACAATATTTGCTGATTGAGATCTGAACTCGTGTACAAGTTCCTTTTGATTGAGGAAGATTAATATGAAATTTTTTTAGAAAAAATAAATGTTTTTAGTTAATTTTATATTTTTTTTATTCAATATATTTCTTGTTTTATTTAGAGGGAATAGCTTGTCTAATTTATTTTTTTATTCACTATTATTAGAATTTTCTAGTTTTTTAAATATATAAAAGATTGTAAATATCTTACGAAGAGATGGACGAATAAAATGACATATTATTAGAGTCTACCTATAATTGAGGATTTTGAAATTTAAACAAACCCCATTATCTATTGGCGTCAGCTGTGTTAATGCGCATCTCGTAAACTAGACTTGCAACCAGCAATAAATTCGCATCAACACATAGCATAAAAGTTCCATTCCGAAGGCACTGGCTCAGCGGTGGAATGGCGCTTTGCGCTTTCTGCTGTCACGAGTTCGAGCCTTGGAGTTGCATGTCTGTCAGCCCCGCGCTGCCTTACCTGCCTGCTGGGTTTGCAGGGTGTTCAGTGGGCCGTGGGGATTAGTCGTGGTGCGCGTAAGCTGGCCCGGACACCCCACGTAAATCAAAAAAAAAAAAAAAAAAAAAAGTTCCATTCCAATAGACATACATGATTGGTCGTGGGGACGCACAGGTGACTCTCTAAAATTATTTTTTTTAATTGTTTCATTAGAAATCGCCATTTCCACGTAGGGATCCATGGATTAAAAGTGAAGCAATTCAGGGCATAAAAAACGAAAGATAGAGAGATCTATGTTAAACAGTCAAATAAAATCCAAATATCCAATGCTCGAACCAAGAAAATAAAATTTAATAAAATAAAATCCAATGCAAATAAATCATTGATAAGGCATTATTTGTACATCCTTTCTTGCAAACAAGTATTATTGTTATCTCATAAAAAATAAAAATGAAAGCCAATGAACACCATGGAAGTTGCATCACTTTGCAGCAAAATAGGAAAACAAGGGACAAAATATGAAAAGGAAGTTCGGCATTTTATAATGGAATGGAATGGAATGGAATGCAATGAAATCCTGCCAGTTCGAAAAAGCTTAAGGAAATGGTGGCATTTTTAACTGATTTTTTATTGCATTATTAGGTTATCAACTGTAACTCGTGCGAAATGCCAATTAGCCCTCAAAATTGCCAATGCAATTTAGCCCCTTCAGCTTTGATACACGAGATTTGGTGTTCCGCTTCATATCCACCTTGTAGCTTGGTAGATAACTCTTCAGGACCCTGTTCTCTTCCATTAGCCTGCTGATTTGGGCACGAAGATGCTTGATCACTTCTCTCTTCTCGTCATTTCTCTTTATTAGCTCACTCTGCTGCTGTAAACTATCATCTATAAGTCCTGAGACCTGTAGCCTTAATTCATTCCGCAGTTTCTCCTTTTCGAGGCTTTTCATTCGGAAATCACGGCCATCATTGTTTCCATTCAATCCAATACCATTAATGATCTTTTCCAGCCCACTTCCATTAACGTCCCTGTCATCATCACGATCGGTCTTCAGGATCTTGTATTTCTCACTTGACATGGACTCATTTTCCCGTCTAATGCTATATTTTTCTTCTGCAACCGAGTCAGGAAGGGAAGTTGGTGCTTCCGATTTGGTGCTTCCAACATTATCTTCGTTACATGCCTGGAAGAGTTGAACTTGTTTGGAGGAGTTTAATGACGAAGAGGATGATATTGATCTCAAATGGGAAACATAAACGCATTCCGATCTAAGTTGATCGTACTTTTCTGCTAAATAACGGTAGGATTTGTGCAAGTCGTGCACCAGGTTTATAAGCTCCGGTCTTCTCTGATAAAACATCTCAGCTCTCTTTGCAAATGAATCCCCATCGTCTTGTATAATATTTAGGATCGTTTTAGTCTTGTTATCCAAATCTGCATTTTGTCACAAACTTCACCATTGATTAGCCTACTGTCCTAAAAATAAGTGATCCCAGCCAATGAAGCCATAAAGATAGCATTAGAGAGATAAAAGATGTATCTCCTAGCGAATAGCAATGCTTTTGTGCATTGAAGGATATGATTTGCAGCAAGACGGGTCATTAAAAGCAGAGGCGGAATTGTTTTAATCTTTAGCTTGGCAAAGAAGTGAAGAATTGCTAGCAATCCATAGAGAAGATGGCAATAACATTTGCATAAAGAAAAAGCATGATAAATAACCATTATAATGAATAAAACATTTATTCAAGAATCATGAATGAAAGCCTAGAGAGACAGGGAGAAAAACCTGAGAGGGTAGCTTGAAGCCATTGGGATTGTTGAAGACGCTTATGGCTATCAGACCACCATGAAAAAGAAGCAGAATTGTCATTTTTGTCCTGCTCCTCCATTGAATACAGTTGTTTCTCAGAGAAAGGTCCGTCCCAAGAAACCTCGTCAAGTGAAAGCTTGGATATAAGACCAAAGCAAGCAGAATGGTAGACTTGATTACGAGCGTTAAACCTTCAAGGACACCAACCTCCTCTAGAACTCTGTCACACTCCAACAACAAGGGACCCCCATTTCTTTAAATTCCAACTTGACTAATAACCCATAACCCTCTGAGGATGTTTGGAAAACAAGTAGAGGTTGTTTTTTTAAAGTGTTTTTTTTTTAAATATATCTATTACAATATTATATTTTTTTTATTTTTTATAATTTATTTTTAATAACAACACATCTAAATAATTTAAAAATATTAAAAAATAATTTAAAATCAAAATCTTTTGAAAACTCCGTTTGAACCACGGAAAACACACCTGAAGAGAGAATTCCTAATCAGCAGGGATACGCAAAATCCTTTTTTTTCAATATTCTCACTCTGAATATTCTCTCCCCTTTTTTTTCTCACTCTGAAGCCTTGGAGCTGGAGCCTGCTTCTGCTTGATTAGACTGACAGCCTTTTGTATGGGCTTAGCCCATATCAGATGGTTTTTTATGTGAAATAGTTTGGGAGAAGAAAGGCTTCAATTGAAAAAAAAAAAAATTCATTTAAAAGTCTCTAGTTGGAGTCGATATCATGTAAGATGTCTGGTAGCTTGTGTGTAGGGCAGCATGCAGATTGCGATATCTTGGCGCATTTATATCGTTAGTGTAACATAAAATTCATTTTCTAGCCTTTTAATATTAAGAAGCCTGCCTAATTGGCTGAATTGGAAGCAGATTCCAATTTGCCATGAAAAGCAAGCTCTTACGGAGCCAGATCGTATGCCTCGGAGGAGAAGGGGAGTCAATTCTCCCGAAAAAACGAAAAACTGCAGGCAGCTTGCTCTAAATATCCCCACCATCAGAGGAAGCAAGGGAAATTGAAGCCCGTGGATGCTTGGGAGACCATCTACAATAACAGCAGCTAGATATGGAACATCGTTCGATTCAAGTTCCCGTGGTCCTCCTGCCACTGTCGGCAACCAACCTATTTATAGCAACTCCTGACAGATTGTGCCATGAAGACAAGGAAGAGAGGCCATGGCTTCACCAGAAGCGAAGTACCAGTTGGCAGAAGCACTTGTTTTTACAATCCTGGTTAAACAATATCGTGATGGGTGCTCCCTTTCAAGGAAGCTATTTTACACCATCATCCATAATTTTATTTTACATAACCCCCTTTACCTTAAATTGATATACAGCGAACTACCATCTACCATTTACAGTTCAAGAATACATCAATCTCCACTTCCTTTAATTATTTTTATTTTTATTTTTACCCCGGGCATTTGAAAAGAAATTTAAGCAACAAAAAGGACAACGTATAGAGGCTACAGCCACAAGGTAAGGCAGAGCCGATTCACACACTTCGCCACCTCCAAATACGGAAAGCATACGGGCCAAATACGCTAAATGGAACTGACAAGCGACAACCACTACCCGCTCGGAATTTCGTATCTTCAACTTCCAAAAAACAAATATATATAAAAAATCTCATTGCTATACACAGCACGAGCAGCGTGCGCTCCCACCCCATTTATCATTTATCCCTTGCAGCTCCATTCCCCCGCCCCTTCTCACGCCACTCCTTTTCACTGTAAATGACTTCTCCCATATGACATCCCAGCACAGTTACACAGGTTCTCGCTCTTTAGCTGTCATTTTCTTTGTTAATTTTAGATTTTAGTCTTCTGACCTTAAATCACTCTCCCGTAGTATATTGATGGCTTGCCCGCAATTTCCCATTACCCCACAAGACGTTTTAAGCCATCTTGAGCACCTGTCAGGGCAAATTTCATGACTTGCCCCGAGGTAAATTTCCTTCAACGTCGCCACCACAATTTGCAAGGGTCAACGACACTCAGTCATTTCCCATTTGAACTCTTCAGGTTATAGTCAACAAAACGGGCGGATCACCAAAGTCAAAACTATGTCAAACTGCCTGGCCCGATACTTCACCTTCACATCCCGATAATGCATCTCCACTTAATGAAATCTTGATTTCATGTTAATCAGGTTTAGTTTTTAACAGATAGGGGGGTCATGTTGGTGATTGTTATGGTTTAATGGCAAACTCTTGCTCATTTGCTCTTCGATAAAGCAAAGCTGATGCTTCCACCCTGTGATAATTAAGAGGGTCGAGGGTGAAAAAGTGAAGGCAATGGTCAAATGTGAAAAACAGTACAAAGCTGCATAACCAAATTCAACAATAGAGAACACTCTCACCAGCCAGGATGGACAACGAATCTTCCCGTGGAAAGAGCCCAATTCACCTGTTCAAAACAATAGAAATCATGCCTCTGACTTAAAACACATCTAAACATTTACCCTTCCAAAAGACATTTCACATGTCAAGGAGACAATGCACAAAACTGATTTAAATCACCCAGTTTATTTTCGTTTCTTTTTTTTTCCCCCCATGAGAAGGGCCTGCAGTATCTTGCATTTTTCAAAATTTTAAACCGGTTAGAAGTAATTCTGATTTAGATTTCAATCCTTGCTGAAAAGCGGAGCAGAATCAGTTGCGTTACCTTATCAGTCCCAAGGGAATTGGCAACTACATGAGTAACCTGTTCGTCTATCTGGTTCGTGCAGACAGCACCAAACTGTTCAGCTGTCTGCCACAGTGGATGAAGGTGGGGGTTGACTTCACCAACTGGAAACACCCTACTAAAAACTACACGACAGCCAGCCAAAATTTTTCTCTGCTCTGAGGAAAGGATATTTCTTACATCTGCTTCATCTAATGAATGATGGGTGAAAAAGTTTTGGTGTATTCTCTCAATAACCTATTTCAAACAAAAAACAAAAGATATAGGGTTTGTAAGTTCAGTAGCAAGAATCTCAGGGCAAGTACAAGATTTGCCTCACCGCTAAAGAGCATGCCAAAGTTCCATCTTCTGGTCTCTGATCATGGTCAATCTCCAAAAGAGAAGGACCAGGAAGCCCAAACTGACGTCTACTGCAAGGGAAATAAATATACCTGCAGCACCGATGGGTAAATGGGTAAAGGGAGAAAAAATGATGCAACCAATAGAAATAAATGCTTTCATAGAAATGATGGTCTCCAATGAGATTCATGATACTTGCCTTTCTACAACTATCAAGTTCAATTTGTTATGGGGCCACACTCTCAACGAATCATCTATGATAACGACACCCGACTCCATACCCAACACACCTTCAAGATCCTTGCTCTTGGGAACCCTTTCATCACCATCTAACAGATCTCCATCATCACCCCTGGAGACAACTCGTCCAGCAAACAAAACCCCTTTTGGATCAAGCACTTTAGCCATCTCGGTAGCATATAACTTGTTTCCCATTGTGTAAAGATGTAGCTCATACAGTTTACTAGCCTAATTGCAGAACAAGAATTGCATTAGTTTGCATAAAATACATGAAGCCCCAAATCAGTTCTTGAACCTGACTGGAGTTACCTTTTCTAAGAAATTCCAGATCCCAGGACGCAATTTCGTCCACATCCCCATATGAGGAAAGCGAAAAAGATGCCTGTATGGCTTTTCACGATCTTGTTCTTCTTTTTTCCTCAAAATCTCATCATGCACAGGATCTACTTCGACAAACTGAAAGGGTGAGAAATTGCTGAATTAATACAAAAGAACTTGTTTGTCAGCTGTTATCCTGAAGGGAAAAAGGGGCCATATTTACACAACAAAAGGAGAATTGCCTTGGCTGAATTGAGAAGCGTATGATCCAGATCCAAAACAAGGCAGAGCTTGCGTGCAGCAAACAGTTTCTTCTGTTCTTCTATCCTTCTTGCTCTCTCTCTCTGTATAGCAGCTTTTTGCTGGTCATCATAACCTTCAAAAAGATGCTCAACATCTTCCCAAGTGTTCTGTGAAAGAGAACTTGCTGCAACCACTTCAGGAGATGAAGCAGGTCCCATTTTCTGGTCAGAATTTGAAGTTCCAGTTTTACCATCCACTCTGTCTGACTTAATTTGAACAGGTTGGGATGCAACATTCTGAGAAACAAAAGGTGGAGTTGTACATGTTTGAGAAACAGATACAATATCAGCAATATTTTGCAAGCTCTTTGTAAATGACGAGGAAATATCAGGTGGCACAACTGGATTCAATTCTGCTAGCCCCTCTTGTTTTTGCAAGTTCTGATTATCTTTAGTCCCTTGGGTGGTGGATGTAAGGGTTGTTGTTTTGAATTGTTCGGATCCCAAGCTCCCAGCCCTCTGGAGTGCATTATTATGGAGAACACGACGAGGATCTCGTGGTTTCATTCGAATTTTTCCTGACTCGTCCTGCAGGGTCCAAGTCCAGATATCATTAAGAAGTCTTCAAGATACTAGGAAAGTTATTTTGAAAATTTTTTAACTGTTTAATACTAATCACAACAGGTTTTATCTTATTTACTTATTGTATTATACCAGAGAAAGAAGAGCAATCAAGACCACGTCAATAAAATTTACAATTTTTTTGTATTTGTAAAGATCTTGTTCCAGCGCGCACAATAGATATATATATATATACATACATACATACATACATACATATATATATATAACCGAAACTAATTTCAAGATCAAACAAAATCCAACCGCATAGGCACTCCAAAGAGGCACATGGTTCCACTCAACTAAGCTCCATTCCCACCTAAGCACATTCTTGGAAAAAATAATCATCATTTCAAGATGCTCAAGCATACAATTAAGTACTTACCGTTGTAGCTACTTGAGAAGGAACCTGGGCCTTTCCTGCAGATCTTGGCAAAATCCCTGAGGGCTGTGAGGAAACAGCATTCACCTCAGGAGTTGCTCCAGGTACCGAGCTTGAACTTGGAGGATGTGATGTACTTTTTGCAGGATCAGCAAGCTTCTGCTGCCCATCTAATGCTAATCTCTGTTGTTGTCCCATCTTAAGTATATTTATCAACAGTGTCGGATTCACAGTGATGTCCTTCAATAAATCGGGTAGGGATGCTGTAGTAGTGCTGGTCACTGGTGCCTGTTCACTTCCAGCAACGGTGTTAATTCCCATAACTGGCACCTGCACATTGCCACTACAATTCACATTGGACATGACAC